CCCCAAAACCCCAAAACCCCAAAACCCCAAAACCCCTTCCTCCAAGTCTACATTGAACTTCTTAAACCTGGTCGACCCAGTACCCATACAAGAAATCATATACATAACTTCTGACTTCATAGTGCCCAGTCAGGTCTTGCCACTGGTATCATTTCCTTGTGTCTGAATACACTGAGTTGGAGGTGCTTCATGATATTGGTTTCAGGTTATTTTTGATAGTAAAATTAAGATAAGTGCCGAATTTGTATGGAATTAAGTTAAAAATTTGTACATAATCTATTGCTCCAGCATTTTTATTAACCAGATATTTTGAGGCAAGAGTTTCATTGACTTGAAACTTCTGAGATAATTCATAAAACGAGGATGGGCTTAAATCCCTCATATTATACTCTTGAGTCATTTCATGATTTCTCTCAAACACTGCAAACTTATCGTCTTGGTTTGCCTTTTGTAAGTCAAAAGTATAAGTTTCTATGGATAATGGGATCAAAGTCTGGGCATCCAAAGTAAACACTCTAAATGAAGGGTTTTGATTATTTATAGTGGTAAATGATGGAACTAGATGGTTAACACCTATGGGTTTTCTATTCTTCACAGACCTAATAATCTCATACTCTTCTTGATGAGTATGCCCAAATAAGTTAAGACGAATAACGTGTTGATATCTATCCATTAAGGCTTGAATACGAGCTGAATTTTCACTAAATCAACCATCCATTCCAGGAGATATGTGAGAGAAGAATATCCCAATTTCTCAATTTTGTTCCATATGTTTTAGGACGCCTTCAAGCCATTCGAGTTGCTGTAGAGAATCTCCCATCTCTCCAACTATGTACTTATTGTAGATATCACAAGTTTCTGAATTGTATCCAATTAGCCTGACATTTCTTAGCATATTCTTCAAAAATTTAGGAGCCTTAGGATGCTCTGAAAGTAGCATTGAATAATAGCTCTTATCTTTGTATTCTTTATAAGCATGAGGAGACATCCAGTCTTTCCAAGTCTCAGCAAGTATTTTCATAGCTTCATCAGCGCCTTCTTTAAAATTTTGAAGGCTCATTGGACCAATTTCATGATTTCCATGAATTCCAAAAACTACTGCTTCTGGAAAATTTTTCTTAAAATATTTAGTAATTTCCATACTTGCTTTGGTTGCGATTCTGCTATTTTTATGGAATCCATGGTCCGTATTGTCTCCTGTCCAAATAGTAAAAGCAGGTTTCTTTACAGATTTAAGAGCAGAGGTTAGCTTCTCCATCATTTTTGGATTTGTATCTCAACGATAATCTCCCCATTTTCCAGCTCTTTCCTTATGTGATTCAGGAGTAGGAACTAAATTAGACCTGCATCAGACTAGTTTCTTTCAAGAGTTACTCTCTCCAGCTACATACTCATAATCTAAGTGAAAATCTGAGAAATGATGTACTGTGATTGTTTGTCTTCCTCTACCTTGATTCTGAAGATTCATAATTCTTTTGTACAGATTATCAATAAAATCATCATTTTTTATAAATTTTGGCTTATCAGATAAAATTCTTTCAGCATAGCTTTCTCTCGTCTGCATCTTAAAATGCTCTTTCTTTCAGAGTGGGAGAGTGATTTCTCACAAATAATTAGGATTAAATGTTTTCTTCTTTAATCCATCCACTAGTATTTCAATTTCCTTATATCCCCATTGCCAAGATTCTTCATAATCAAGTTTATACGAGTTCTGTAAGTAGTTAATAACTTGAAACATTTTTACAGCATCAAGGCTTAAAAAGGTCTCAGAGAAGACTGAAATTATGCTCTTGCATAGTCCACACAGAATTGGATCCTCAAACAATCTACTCTTATCCAACCCATACATTTCATTGTATGATTTTTGATGATCTGTTAAAGCAAAGCAAATTATGGCTTGAGTAATTAAAACAAGTAGCTTTTTCATCTTCAAAATCAATTCAATATTTTCTCATTAAAAAGGGGTTTTGGGGTTTTGGGGTTTTGGGGTTTTGGGG